CTTTGAGTTGTCTGAAATCGCCTTACCAGGTTCTCTTGTCCACGCCACTGGAATAAGACGATCTGACCACTGTCGGTCAGATTGAGCTTGGTAGCTACCATTGGGTCTGTAACAACGGCAAAGACGACGGCGTTTCGGAGCGGATCCTTTTCCAAAGCCTTCAAGGAAGCCAGGTAAAAACTAGTGTATCCTCGAGCTTTCGAACGACAATCGAAGTTGAAGTAGCCGACGACGCGCGCCTCGACCATTGCCAAAAACTCAGTCACGTCCATATCGTTCTGCAGTCTCTGCAGGGGATCGGTTGAAACTTCTAAAAATCTGAAAACAGCTGCAAAAATTCACGAAAAGCGCTTCGTCATAAGGCAACAAGGAAATTGGCATATGCAAAAAGAAAAGACCATTTAATTTAAGGAAAGTTTTAACATTTACCTGATACATATAGATATATGCATATGAAATAACTTATGGCCCGAGTACTGGACATCTACTGAAAGAGTGCGATTTCATATATCAATAGCAAAAATAAACTTTCTTGGGAGGAGTGCGGGCGAGTATGAACTTTTTGACAAGTTTGAAATAATCTGAGGTATCCACGCTTGTGAACTGCACCTTTTCAAATATTTTTTCAGATCATAATTACGACAACAGGGGGAATGAAGCAAGGACGCCAGAGGAAGTCAAAGGCAATAGGGCCGAACATCAATAACTTTGTGAGCGACAGGAGTTAATTTCGCAAGTATCTTTCTCGCTCTTTCACCACATGTCAGAACGACTGCAACAGTGATCAAAATGTCAGAGGACAGATGCGAACGGCTGACTTTCTTCTCCAAGCAATTTGAAGTGCGGCTAAGATGCAAACCGGACAGAAGATAATTTGACTATACCAAAGACTAGCTATTTCGTCCACGGAATTCAACCCAATGATTTGACCGTACGGTAAAGGATAAGACCAAGATCGCTTGCAAAACCTTCAGAAATTGCCATCAAGACTGAAAATCAGAGAGTAAAAATTGATGAGCTGATCAAGTGTCACGGAAAAGGTTACAAAAACCTCCTAACCTACCTGTACATGTGATCGGCGGATACGACACCGCGATAGCGAAGCCGGGCATTGGCGGTGGTAGACAATTCGAGCAGCGGATAGCCGTGCATTTTCTTCTCCTGACGGCATCTTCCGCCCGGATCCCAACAGTTGACTGCTACAAACAGACCACGACGCTGACCGAAATGAGTTGCCAGTGCATCGAACTGGTCACGAGCTTCGATGCTAGCCAAACACCATGGCGCGTAGTACATCGCGAATACCATCTCTGACGTGTTCAATAATTGGTTGCCATCTGCCAGACGGCCATCGTAGTAGTCGACCACCGAAGAACGACCGGAAAAGAACGGCACCGGCGAAGAACGACGACTTTTAAAAAACTAAACATAACTCGTAACAACCTCTGCGCGTCACAAATCATACAAAGCAAACAAAATACGTTGTGGAGAAAAAAATCACATCAACCATAAGGGTGTAGTGAAAATGCATGAAAGCAAAAATTCAGTTAAAACGACAAACAACTACCTAAACTATTGAAGCCCCTCATGTAAAAGTGCTAGCATGTTAAAAATCGCTAACAGTAATAAAAACAATCCATAAACTGTTCAGGAATCTGATTTTATGGATGTTGCATCAAAAGGTAACTGAACAATTAGGCATTGGTGCATTTTAATAAATGTAGATTATTCACCTGAAGCCATGGATTCACCATGGATTTGGATACCAGTAAGGTAATACTGGTATATTAAGATTTTTGAGGTCGGAAAGGACGAATGCCTATGACAAAAATGAAGCAAACTCCTCTATTATTAGTAATGACAAAAGTGGTTAAATTTTTGATAGCACTTGCGCCGTCTTCGTGCCCTCGGCTAATCATAAGAAGTACGAATGATGATGATTTCTCCGCGTTTCGTGGTTTTTTAATCTAACGTTATCTGCATTTCCGTTTATTCTGTTCATGAACTCAATGGTCATTAGTCATTTCTACACCGTTCACACGGAACGTGGGAACGTCAAAAATTGTAGCAATGCTTCTCATGTGAATCGGAAGGTACGGCTGACTGCAGACTTACTGTTTACGTATGTAATAAAACAGATAAGTCTGTAAATTCCATATTACCACTGTTCCATTAGAGATTTTAAGGCTGTCAGCTACAGATACTAAAGATTACTACGCCATTAACTATAACTTACTCGGCCACGACATCTTTCAGTTTCCTTGTTGCCTGCTTTTCAAAACATATTCGCACAGAAGAGCAAATAACCGCCGCAACATCAGTGTGAAGTGATGTTTTTAAAGTAGGGTTTAAAGCTGTGGATTTTGGGCCCGTTTTTGGACTGCAGTGATTTATATGATCCATGTTTGCAGGTACCAGACCAACAAAGTTTACGCTAAAGCTTTTATTGCTAATTTATTTAGCTGTCAAACCAATAACATCATCGGGACACCAGATATTTACCTTTATTTTCTTATTTTCCTAATCATATGGCCTTTTAAAAGCAAATCTTAAAATACGCTGAAAAAACAGTTATGCAGAGGTAGTCATCTGTACTCTGTGCCATGCTCGAACATAAGAACCCTGCTACTGGATCGTAGTAAGTCAAAAGGATCATCATATGCATCAATTACGTAGCCATCGTTTGGATCTACCCTCATCTGTCGAAAGAAACAATAACTTCGTCTGAAAAAAATTACACGGTATATTAAAAAATTACACTCTTAACTCAGGGCTAAATTTTCTAACTTTGCTTTCCTTAAATGAAACACTATGTGTACCCTTTAAGATGAACAAACTATTTTGTCCAACGGCATGCCCTCGATCACAAAATTGCGGTTCATCCACAAGAAATGAAAAGAAGATCCTGAACATAGTCGACAACTCGCTGACACTAAGAAATGAAGAGAAAATATTCTGTCTTTCACGATGCTGATGTTCCTAGATGAACGACGAATTCGGTTAATATTAAAGCTAACGATAGACTTGGCAGGTATCAGTGAAAACGTGGCGTCATGCAATACAGCG